ATGAAAAGAAGGGAAGAAATGATTTCTGGAGGATTTACTAAGAGATCAGTTTGAAGTGTGTGGATTTGGAGTGTCTGAGGCACAATCAAGCAGATACTCAACAGGTCCTTGAATATCCAAGGTGGAAGCTCCGGGAGAGGTATGGGCTGAAGGTACACATTTGGGTGACAGCACCCCAAGGGAGGAAGCTCTGAGTGCAGAGGCAGGCAGGGGAGGAGCAGCAGCTGCAGATGGCAAGAGGCGCAGAAGCAGAGGACGCTGTCCCCAGAGCACACACGACACAGGCCTCGGGCAGGGAGTGTGCCTCTGAGCAGTGCCGCAGAGGGCGAAGGAACCCTGGGTGTGCCGGGCAGGCCCCGGATGGGAGCGCGTGGTGGAGGGAGGAGAGGAGTGGAGGTGAAGTCAGGACTGGAGACAGGACTTCAGAGGACTGGCGGTGACCGGAGTGATGCCAGGCGGCGGCCCAGAGGTGGGGCCTAGCGTGCTCCTGAAAGGCTGCCGACGGGCAAGGCGCAGAGGAGTGGGAGAGGCTGAGCAGCAGGGGCTGGAATGATGCTGTTTCGCTTGCACTTGAATCCCCAGAACAGCCCCACAAAACAGGTACAAAATTATGCCTTCCTCGCACAGAAGAGGCAGCCGAGGTCAGAGGGGACCCGGACTCGCAGCTGGTAAGACCTGAAGCCGGGGGGCTGAGGCTGGAGTGAGTACAGGACCACACTGGCTCTGGGGGGGTGCAGGCAGCCGGGCCTGGGCTCCGCGGAACGGCGGGCAGATTGACTGGGTGGGCCAGACGCCGTGCCTGTGCTTATGCGCCTCGTGAAGAGAAAGGCTTTTCCATCCAGGTGGTCAGCCAACTCCAGCCGCATCAGTGGAGCCCTGGGGGGGGTTCCTGTCCAGTAACCGGCGGGGACCGGAACACCCCGGGTGTGCAGAGGGCGCTCGTAGCTTCCATCGTGGAGCCAGGAAGCTCTGAAGAGGAGAGCTCGCCGCTCAGAGGCTCCTCCCTTCTCAAGCAGCAGCGCTGGCTTGGACCAGCTTTCCTCATGCCTCATCTTGCTCCAGGATCCGTGTGATGCGAGTCTGTGTGTCACTGGAAAGGCGTTCCCTGCAGCGAGAGATCTTCCGGCAGCACCGCATCCCGGCCGGGAGCCACGGCCGGCGCGTGTCATTCATCCCGCCAGCGGGTGGCGGGGAGGCCGCCGCAGCACTCGGGCCGGCCACCGGGGGCAGCAGCAAATTCACAGACCCGGCCCGTCAGCGGCGGGAACGGACGGACACCGCAGGTCACGCAGGCACACGAGTCACGCTCCAGTCATAAAGCGCGTGGTGCGCCCGTTCTAGTTTGAAAACAATGTGTGTGAATGGCTGTCTTTTTATTAGAGCCTTGATTCAGAGCACACTCTACTAATTGCTGTGAGTGATTACGTTTATGGACCCGTGTTTAATTTTGGATAGATTTTGCTCTAAAGTATCAGTGACTTAACTCTTTGTAATCACTCCTGAATGAAGGAATCGCTGAAACAGTATGATCTTGATATGCTTGCCTAACAGAATTTGGCCAAGCCAACATATTTGTATTCTACATGGTGCTCTGAACCAGGCTGGGTTTAAATAAAAAGGCAAATCACAGAAAAAGCACTGCAAATGGCCTTTAAAAACGTGCAGCTCTCTCATCTAACAGTAAAGGAAGGGAAACGCACCAATGCAGTCTCAGTTTCACCTTCCCTGTGCAGGCACTGAGAAGAGTGACAACACCCAGTGCTGGGGTAGGCACGGGGTGCGCCTCCTCACAGGCAGGCGGGCAGTGGCTTCACACGGCCAGTCATGTGGTGCCACTGAAGAAAATGCAAGACACACACCCCCGTCTTCATCATCGTACTGCTGTGAATTTGCCTGGCAGAAACAGAAACATCAGTCTGAGGATATTCATTGCAATCCTTAAATATGATCAGGACAAAACTAGAAACACTGCAGTGTGCACCCATGGGGACGGCGGAACAGAGTGTGGGCCTTGTGCCATGGAGCATGCCCCTATTTCAAATGAGCTGGATCCGTGTCCTGGGAGGGGTATTTAAGACGTGTTGGTTAACACGCAGGTTCTGGAGTGATGTGGCTCCTTTTGTTTCGACAGTGAGCAGAAAATGGCTTTATATGGACTTTATGTTTAACAAGCATAAGGTATGGCTACCAGAATTACTGGAGGATGAGGAGGAGGAGGTAATGAACATTTTCTGTATATACCCTGTGCTGTATTGTTTGACCTGATAGAATGAATATATATATCTACACACACACACATATTCTGTGGAAAATTTAAAGAGCCAATAAAGTAAAAAAGTGTTTTTAGGGAGACTAAAAAATTCCATTCTGTTCAATGCGTTAGTGACAGAAACGCTAAGGTTGTCCTTTTTCTTCTCTATACTGGTTCCATCCATCCTGCCTGGAATTGACCAAAATCATGAATTCAAGAAAACAGAGTAAGATAAAAACTTGACTCCCCCAAATCCCTACCTAATAATTAGGAGAGTTTTCTGTATCGTAGTTATGTTTTAGGGAATGGATAGGACATTCAGAATTTATGTGTAATACATTACTATTTTCTCCTTTAAAATAATGAGCAGTAGGCTTCCAATCAGGGCTCCACTTAGAAATCTGATTTACAGTGACAGTGTCTGACATGAGGCAGGGAAGCCTAAACAGGACGTTCTCCCCTGTCCAACAGACTCTTCCAACAGATGCCTCCTTGACATTTAGAAAACTCTACTTTGTTTCCCCCAAATACTCAGTTTAGTGAGGAAGCTGTGTTTTCTCATCCTTTCCAAAAAGAGGTAGCAGGTAAAGAAATTGGTCCAACGGCTTATTAAGTAATTTTGGCTCCAAATATTTTTATAGCTGCAAAAAACGAAACAAAACAAACAAACAAAAAACCAGAATGCAGAATTAAATTCTTCACAAGAAAGGTTCTTGCTGAGGGAGGCCCATCTGAGGGGCTGTGTTCTAAAGCTGTCTGAGTGGTAGAGAGGCGGCCAGGGCTTCCTCAGCCCAGACAAAGGTGCGCCGGCAACAGTCCACCTTTTCAAACCAGAAAGAGACCAAGGCTGTTTGGGTTGCCAGAGAAACTCACAAAACTTGGATTGAACTGTTCTGGAGAACTGCTTAATTCCAAGGAACTGAAAAGAACACTGTTTGATCCTAAAGTTGTATTTAGGTGACAGCCTGATCTAAGCAATGCATCATAATTCAAAGGTTGCCATCATTATCATCTGTATGTGCAGAGCAGCTCACTTCTCAAAAGGCAGCCGCCAACAAGCAGAAGAAATGTCCAAACCCAAACACACCAGAATGTCTGTCAATTACACGTCAATAGCAGCAGATTTTTGTTAGAAAAGTAAAGTTTTCTATGACTAAATTTGTGACCATATCTTATTAAGGTTAAAAAAACAGGATGTGGCCGGGCACAGTGTCTCATGCCTGTAGTCCCAGCACTTT